TGAAGGCTGTGTGTGTTTGTGTGTGTATGTGTGTGTGTGTGTGTGTGTGTGTGTGTGTGTGTGTGTGTGTGTGTGTTACTGCAGCTACTGGATGGGGTAACCCCGGTCTCTCGGCTCCTCAGCACCTGTGTTTACTTTGGGGCCTCGGCCCCCGTGACCCAGCAGCAATCCTTCACTCACTCAGAAGATGAAGTGAGGTTTCAGCCTCCAACTATGTGCTGTCCCTGCACTTTTACCGCCGTGTGATTCCTCCAAGACTTTCATAACGAGGCACAGGCCAAACTGGGAGTATAAATTACAATCCACGTCCAGAATTCGACCAAACGAAACATTCAAACGTTGCTCTTTTTTTTCACTGCGATGTTAAATCAGGTGAAAAGCAGAACTTTTGGAATGATTTAAGGAGTCGTTTATGTAGAATTAAGCTGAGCTTCAGTGTTGCAGAAAGTACCTCAAAGTGATACTTGAGTAAAAGTACAAGTACCTTATCATAAAAATACTTTGGTAAAAGTTAAATTCTTATTTAAGGATATTACTTGAGTAAAAGTCTTAAAGTATCTGATATGATTTTGTACTTAAGTATCAAAAATAAATCCCTGACACAAAATCTAATTAAGTATTTAAAGTAAAAGTATTGAGTAAAAGTGAGCCGTTAGATTTTACAAAATAGATTTATTGGGAGGTGACTTCTCCAAAAACATTTTTTCTAAAGGTGTGAAGCTGTGTTGGATTGTGTACAAAGTAATACGGTGTCAGAATGATACATATTTATACTTCTCATCCAAACACAATTTTATTCACTTTATCCAGGAGACACAATTTATCAGGATAGTATTTTTTAGGTAATGACAACGTGAAATAAAATAGGAGTAATAACTTTCTACTTCTTACCTTTTTAAAGTGCCTGTGACATGAAACTTTTTAAATAAATATAAAGTCATTTATTGGAAAGATTATATCAATAACATATTGAAAAAATAAATTCCCGCTGGTGATATGAAGAGGTGTTAAGATACTGTATTTGGATTTGAAGTAACAGGAAGTGATGTCAAAGGGGAATGTCTGCATGGATTAAAGCATTGATAAAATACGTAGCTAAAAGGACACAAACTGTAGAGAACAATCTGATGTTTCTTTATATTATTTTGAGTCACTAGCTGCGTTTCCATTGACCATGAAAATGCGCAAATTAGAATTTCGAAAACAAATTTGCTCAATGGAAACACGTCAGTTTTAAAAAAATTACGTTTTTCAACAAAATGTTTTTGCGCTAGGATGAGGTGGTTTTTCGGCCATATCGAAATTGGTGTTTTTCGCAAAACTGCAATGGAAACACTTTTTTCGCATCACGTGAGTCACATGACCAACAACCAGTTGTTTCTACTGGCAAAAAGATGACGACGAAGAAGATAAC